CACACTATTAGAGGACAGCGTATCAATATTGTGGGCACGCATGTAGGTGAAAACCTGTGAAAGGCGCCTAGCATCGTGATAATTAATACGGATTCAAAGCAAACCAAGCATATATTCATAGTGGATTGAAAAAGAAACAGCCACTGATTTAGGCACTCAACTAGGTCTACATATTTCAAATTAAGCTGAAGAGAAGTCGACTCGTCGATCGGGAAGGCACTGCCGGTAACGCTGAAGGAACTTGTCTTTCCTGCTAAAGTACTGTACCCGTCCATTCCACAAGACAAGCTGAGGCTAGTGATAAACCCACACCGATTCATCGAGTCAGTAGAGAAAACCCTTCCACCGCTGGTAACCAAACATACGTCCAACGATTCACTACCTGCTGTGTTTTCAGTTAGCAAGAAAACATAATTTTAATCTTTACTCTTATCTGTTTCAATATTCCCTGTGCAAATGTTGTCCAACATATTAAACCATTATCTTATCCTGGTAATCAACAGTTTATCACCTTAAATTCCACGCAACCAAAATGCATTGAAGAGAAAATGATAGGAAATATGTGAGAGAGACCATTTTTTCCTTTTTGTTATTAAGACTGGATGGACTTGTTTATATTTTTATGCTTAAAAAAATTCCTAGAAAACACAGGGATTCCAAATCAATCAGATTCAGACAATTAACACAATCCATGTGGATTAGAAGCAAGCCAAGCATACGGACACTATTCATGGAGGATTGAAGAAGAAACAGCCACTGATTTAGCCACTTACCTTTTGACCACTCAACTGCATCTTCATATTTGATAGCTGGAGAACTCAACTTGTCCATCAGGAAAGTACTACCGGTAACACTGAAGGAACTTCTCTTCCGTACCCATTGATTCCACATGAGAAGCTGAGGCTAGTGATGATCCCACACCGATTCACCGAATCAGTAGAGAGAAAACCCTTCCAGCGATGGTAACCAAACATACCTCCAACGATTCATTTGCCTCCAAACCACTGCCCAGGAAGGATTTGAGCTTCTCCAAAAAGAAAAAAGAGCTAACATGTCAAATCATAGTTAACCATGGATCTTTAATTGCAGTTATTAGCTTATTACAAAAGTTAGATTAGGTATGGTGGCCCTCGATTGGCTCCACCCTGCCTTTTCCTCTTGCGACATTTGGAACCCTATATTACCCTTTCTATAAGCCAGGCGGCCTATCCCCAGTAGATCCGTGGAGGTCGGTACGCTCGGTGTCATCTGATCGGAATTTTTGCCTTCACCGGCGACGGCCACCATTCCAAAAGTAAATATCGATTGCCTGAGAAATTCTCGGACATAGCTAGGGCCCAAATGTGGACCGTATACTCAGTTGGGAAAACTTTTACTGTACGTAATAAGTATCCATCCCATAAATATATTACAAAGCAAACACAAAAGAAATCTGAATTCAAGTTTTCCATTTTAAAACACTCCACTCCATAGTGAAAGTAATTTATAACAATCCGCTATACTTTTCAGCAGAGTGTAACACCCCCTAGAGTTAAAAAAAAAAAAAAATAGAGAAGAAGAAGAAGAAAGAAAAAACGACACAAACCAATACAATAGTAGATTCTAAAAGAAAGCAACACTGCTGCCATGCACTCCGCCCGCAGAGAACCGGTAACTGCCACATTTAAGTAAATCTGCTAACCGTACAACAAAGAACCTGAAAAAAGATTACAACATTCGTGCGGATAATTAAGTATTCAACGTGACAGAGTAACAATTAACAGTTAACAATCAACGGACAAAATAAAAATTAACAATTAACGTATCACAATATATATATATATATATATATATAACATAAAAATCCACTCTCCTTCCTACCTTCCGTCACTCTTCATCGTTCAGATTATTGATCTCCATATGATGGGCTGGGCAGTTGGTTCAGATCGAGCGCCCTTTCCACTTCAATCGAATAAGTCCACTCCATCTTATTCAAGAGAAAAATACTCACCTTGTCTCCTTCTTTCAAATTAAGTTCCCTAACAACAGGCTTCCACCCACTCTCCAAAAAAACCACTCTCATACCATTTTTCCCATTTCTCGAAAGTTTTTGAAGTGAGGCGGTTACTTCAAACGGACGACCGTCATTAGGGTCCAAAAACATATTCAATTTTGCCCTTTTTCCCCATTTTAACTCTGGAGGAAAAAGCTGAGGTATCTTCCTTTCCACATCTTGTGGTATGGTAAGCTTTCCCCGGTCACCGGTGGAATACTTGGATAGTTTCTGAGATGAAACCAAAATTTTCGTCTGTGCCATTAATTAAGGCTCAAAAGGAGCTAATAAGGTATGTGAAGTTGGGGAGGAGGAGAGTAAGGAGTTAAATCATGGGATACTTGGGCAGTAGTTTTTGAAGTCGGTGGAGGAGGAGAAGGAGCTAAGGTGAAGTAAGTATGCGTGAACTCTAAAAATATTAGTATCATATTTATGGGTCATCTCACCCAACACAAAAGTTACAGGTGTCCCGCGGAATAATAACAGTTAAAAGGAAAAGGGGTTTATCAATGACATGAGAAGAATCTTTTGCATGGTTAGAGGGTAAGAGTCGTAAGACAGAAGGATCCTTGTTGTGCTTTGATCAACGGTGCTTATTTCTCAACTTGTACGTTAAAGAAATATGAGATGTATGCTCTATGATGCCAAAATGGCACTTCGTTGATTTATCTTTGAAGTTTGAAATTATGTAAAGATTTTAGAAGATGTACCGGACGGATAATAATATTTGATTTATCAGACAAAAAAAAAAAGAAGAAAAAGGGATTTATCGTTTGCTAGCAACATAATTGAGGGCATATACATTTCATTCCACATTCACCCTAATAAAATGACAAACGAAATTAATTTGGACACAGATGTTCTATGTTCATCATCAGTGGAGATAGAGGTTCCAAGCTATACAAGCTTTCTCGTTGGATGTTCGAGGTAGTAAAATATTAGTCTGTTTTCCTTTTCTCTTCATCCATTAGCTAGTTATTTCATGGTCTCTATGGAATGAACGTAACGACCTTATTTTTAGAGCTTAGAGCCCAAGAGGCATCAGTGGAAGATACATTTGAAAATATCCGAGTTAAATAGAACACTTCTATGGCTAAAACGAAGGGCAAAGGGATTCACATTTTCACTCCATATTATGACAGGACCAATAATCCCTTCGAATGTGCAGTGGTCATTAACTAGCACAGGTTGTGTTCTTTAAAGTGCAACTTCCTTTAATTGCTGTAAACTGAGAGGAATTGTTTGAATTAAGCTATCATAATATAGGTGGATATGTAATGGATTTAAGGCACCCTTTGTAACTTGCTAACAAATTACTTTATTTGTTGATAATAAAGGAGTAAATATTAAATTTTATCCTTAACCTTTACTATAAATATCAACTATTGTCCTAATTAATCTTTTATTTGGACCAAACATGGTACCTAATATTTTCAAAATACCAAACCGAATCCTACCATTAGTCACTTCTGTTAAATTCCTAATGAGAAATCCTAACTAGAATTTTGAGAACCCAAATAATGAAAAACCCAGCAAACCATGACTCTCTTTTCCAAGGCCAAACATTTATTTCATTTTTCTTTTTCTTTTTTAAAACGTTGTTGAACCCTATTTTCCAATGTTTCAGTGCTCGAACATTGTGTTGAGATTGAAGCGAAAAATAAAGGGTCAAAATTGTACTTCTAAGTGGATAACAATCTTTTTAAAATGTTGTTTGAGAGCATTGTCGGGTGCAAGCTTGGCTTCTTTGTAGGGATGTAGAAAATTTATTAGTCTAGATGTATGCGATATTAAAATTAACTATAGGGGGCATATTTTGGTAATTGTTGGCATTGATGACAAAGATTGCCTTTGGCAAATTGCATAGGTAGTTATCTCGATTGAAGATAAAGAAAATTGAAAATGGTTTCTAACCCAGTCTAAAAGTTAAGATTGAGAATCATAAAACAGGGTACATAATGTTAGCATAATTATGTTGTAGAAAAATTGTTCTTCGACAACAATATTTCTGGACTTAAAAAGTACTAGCACACTCTAACTTGCTTTGCCTATCACCCAATTTTCCACTAAAACAACATTACTGTTGTCAGTGGCCGACAAAGGCCGGGGTGCCTGCTGAAAATATTGAAAATGAAATTTATGTTCTTCTCTTTTTTTTTTTCTTTTTTTTTTTTTTTTTTTTTTTTTTTTATAACGGCAAATAAGAATTATATTGGAAAAGACAGAGTACATGGGACACTCCGGACCCATTAACGCCCCTACATGAAAGAGCATGGTGATAAAATCACAAACTCTTCACCCAGTCATGTTAAATCTACACAAAAACACCTACTGCATGCTGCCCCATGTGCTAAAATGCCTTTAAACCTGTATTACGCCCCCTCGCTTTCTCTGTGGGCCGGGCCTCCCTGAATTGACTTGAAGCATGTCGCAGGATTTTGCATCCAATGCCAACAGGAGAACATACACCCATACACCCATACACCCTTCCTCTAATCCAGAAAAATGTTCGACGAGGTAAAAAGAAAAAAAAAAAATCAGTATATTAAAATTCAAAAAAAATCCCAAAAAAATTTATATTAAATTTTAAAGCTAAAAAAATTCAATATATTTACTTGTTCCTCTTAACAACTTAAATGAAATGTATTTAATTCAAACATTTTAGATTTTAAAGGAGTATAAAAGTTGTAGAACCTGCCACTAAATTTAATTTTTTTAAGTAATTAACGCTATTTAATTGCTTGCTTTCCTTCTTCCATCCAATTAATTATTGGAAAATAATTTTGAGACAATCATTTTTTACCACCTACAACTTTACATATTATTTAAATGATTGGTTCTTTTCATTCATTTAGAACCCATAATATTAAATGCATTCACTCATTTAACAACATATAAAAATTATATAAAAAAATGGTACAAAAATGTTGTTCCTATATCACAGCCCTTAATTATTCTTCAATTAGCATTAAGTTTTTTAACTTCCAAACTTAGCCTAAGATTTTCTTTTTCTTTTTCTTTTTTTTTTCCAAAAACTTGGCCTCCAATAACACAATTTCTTTTCCATTCTTATTTTTTGGGCTAAGAGTCTCTATTCAATTTGGTTGTTAAAATTTCTCTATAAATTGTAGCTTTTATGTAATTAATGCCTTAATGTTATTGAAAAATCGAGAAATTAATTATTCTATTATATATATATATGGATTAGTGTAATGGGATTATTGAAAGAAAAGATGAGAGGCAGAAGTAGAGAGAGAGTGACTAGGAAGCAAGGAAGAAAATCAGCACGGGCATGGGATCATTACAGCAGAACAGGAAGAAGCAGAGGTTTCCAGCCAGATCGGAGAGTTGATAGGGGAAAATCAGCATGGGCATGGGATCATTACAGCAGAACAGGAAGAAGCAAAGGTTTCCAGCCAGATCAGAGAGTTGATAGGGCAGCATACAATCAAGCCGTCCCATTCTTCTTCACCAACTTTCCAAAGGACTGGAATTACAAGCAGATATGGAGAACCTTTAGAGGATATGGAAGAGTTATCGACATACACATACCAGCTAGGACAGATAAGTATGGAAGACGGTTCGGGTTTGTCTGATATCTTGATGTGCAGAATGTTCGCATGCTGGAGAGGGAGTTAGATCAAATAAAGGTAGGAGGGATCAAGATTCATGTAAACCAACTAAGATTTGACAAGAATGCAACAATATAGAGGGACGGAAGCCAAAACAATGTCGAAAAGACCATCAACTTTGAAGCAAATAGGAAAGCAGATATGACTTATGTAGACATCCTTAGAGGCTCAAAGAAGAATGGACCTGGGAGTGCACAGGCCACTACTATAGAACAAATTATACAAAACAAGGACAGGGACAGAAAAGCCACTCACACGACAAAAGGAAGAAAGGAATGGATTGCAAAAAGCAAAGATTCCAAATGGAAAGGGTGGGAATTTAGAGTTGAGGAATCAGATTTTGAATGGGTAAAAGGGAGTTTTGTGGGGACAGCCCGAGCAGTAGAATTAATCCCAACAATTCAAGAGAAATTCTACATGGAGGGATATTTTTCTATTTCACTAAAACCAATGGGTGGGAAGCTTGTATTACTGCAATGTGTGGACAAAGAAGAGTTGGAAGACTTAGTAACTAATGCAGGAGATTGGTTAGGACAATGGTTCGATGAAGTAAGACCATGGTCACCGTCAATGGTTGCTACGCAGAGGTTTACATGGATAAAATGCCAGGGAGTTCCTCTACATGCATGGGGACCCAAATTCTTCCATGATCTAAGCATGATATAGGGAAATTTTATCTTCTTGGATGATAGCACCAGCAACAAAAAAAGATTTGATGTTGGTAGAGTCTTGATTTCTACACCCTGCATGGAGATGATATCAAAGAAGCTCACCGTGAAGATAAATGGAGAATTCTACAATATACAGTGCACGGAGGAAGAACACTCTAACAATCTGTTTACTTTGAGGTCTGATTTTGGGATTAAAAACAAGTCCTGTAGTGATCATGATAGTGAATCTTGGTCACTTGGGTCGGTAGAAGCAGCAGGCTCCGTGAATGGGGTGCTTGAAAGATTTGAAAATCCCTCTGATACTGGAGATGAAGAAGACAATGACGTGGCGCCTTGGTGTGAACGGGATGAGGAGGACTCAAAGGAAAGGCAGTGCCAAGATATGTGGTCAACTCAAGCATTAAATGAGGCATCAGAAAATAACACTTCCAAGGAGAGAAATTCAAAATCTAGCCAGGAAATGATGGGGGAAACGTCACATGGGGGTGGAAGAATGGGGCTAACGACTGCAAATTTTGAAATAAGTAATGATGCAAGCGGGATTAACGAAGTGGAACCAATTGAAGAAAATTGTAGTTGGGTTGAAGAAACAATAGTTGAAAAAAGAGGTTCTCGATTGGAAATGAACCAAAAAAGCAACAAGAAGGTGGATGGAGGGGCGGTTGGGCCAAAAGCAAATGGGCCAAAAAAGAAGTCCCATGCAAACTCTAAACAGACCCAAGATTCACTGCAGGCCATTATACACCTCAAGGGAATAGAGGAACAACCCAATAATGTGAGAAGCAACGGGCCAGAACAGATAAAGAAAAAAACAAATGGGTGCAGCTCAAGTGTGACTGAAAGCTGAAGGTCTTTTTTCTAGGAGATGGACAGCGATACTGGGACGGTGAGATAGTGTATGAAGGGGAAGGTAGAATCAAAAACTCGGAAGAAGAGTAGAAGGACAAAGGCATGTGCAGTAGTTTATAAAGCAGCCAAGCTAATCAAAATAGAGGCAAGGAAAAGAAGAAGAGGAAGAACAAAGAAGAATCAACCAACGGACATGTCCTTACCGGAGTTCATCCCCAATGTGAATTGTGCAGTGGCCAGTGAGTCCATAAACGACAACAATATCAACAATTGTAACAGGGCCATCTTAAAAAGCAAGGAGGAATTTGGAGCAAAGGAAATTTGGGAACTTGCAAAAGAAATTGGTGTAGAGACACAGGGGAATGAGGAACTTATCCTACAGAAATTGGAGTAGCTAGAGGAAAGGGACAGGAATCAACAGAAACCCAACAATCGAACATGCACTCTTGGAGGGGAAGGTATGTTCTGATGATTCTAGTGTCCTACAATGTTAGAGGGATAGGAAGTCGGTGGAAGAGAAGGGAGATAAGGAATTTGGTGGGTAAGGAGAAAGTAGAATTTTTGATGCTGTAGGAAACTAAGTTGGGAAATGTAGATAGAGGTATTTGTAGTGAATTGTGGGGGATGAATAATTTTGAATGGGTAACCATGAATGCTGAAGGTAGTGCCGGGGGTCTTTTATGTGTATGGAATTGTGATATATTTAAGATTGATAAGTCTTTCCAGGGACCAGGATACTTGGGTGTCTATGGCTTTTGGGGCACTGAAAAGGTTCCTATTTACATTATAAATGTCTATTCACCATGTGATAGCAAAGGGAAGAATGAATTATGGAGCAAACTGGGCAACATTGTTAACTACAAAGACACAGCTGTGTGCGTGGGAGGGGATTTTAATGTCACTATCTCACAGGAAGAAAGAAGAGGGTGTCAGGGCATATAGAAGGAGATGGAGGGTTTTGAGGCATTCATAGCAGAAACAGGGTTGATCGACTTACCAATGATTGGGAGAAGGTTTACCTGGTATCAACCAAATGGGAGAGCCATGAGTCGCCTAGACAGATTTTTAATAAATGAGGAGTGGCTTGTAACATGGGAAGGCTTGAAACAGTGGGGTTTGATGAGAAGCATCTCAGATCACTGTCCAGTGCTATTGAAAAATAAGGTGAAGAATTGGGGGCCAAAGCCATTTCGCTTCTTTGATGCTTGGCTTAGGCATTCGGAATTCAAAGACAAAGTGGCAGAGGTGTGGAGAACAAAGGAGCTCCAAGGAACAGGTGGCTTTATTCTCAAAGAGAAACTAAAAGCAACTAAAGTATATTTGAAGAAATGGAGCAAAGAATACAATAGTGAGCTGAACAAAACAATAGAAGAATGCAAGGAAGTGATACTCCAAATAGATGTGAAAGGTGAAGCTCAAACATTGACTGAAGAGGAGTTGGAATTCAAAAAGAAGAATGAAGTTGATCTGTGGCAAAAAATGTAGATCAAAGATTGTATGGTGAGACAAAAAGCAAGAACTCAATGGCTCAAACTCAGAGATGCAAACTCAAAGTTTTTTCATCAATGCATCAAAGGCAGATGGCGTAGAAATGAAATTAACTACCTGGAGGTGGGAGGCACGAAACTAATGGAGATCACAGATCTAAAGGAAGGTGTCATGAAGTACTTCCAGGAACTATTCATAGAAGATGATTGGGAAAGACCAATATGGGAGGGAATTGAATTCAAGAAGGTCACACTTGAGCAAAACATAATGCTGACTGCACAATTCACAGAAGAAGAGATAAAGGAAGCTGTGTGGGACTGTGACAGTTCAAAGGCCCCAGGACCAGATGGATGCAATTTCGGGTTTATCAAAGCAATGTGGGAGATAGTGAAGGATGATGTTGTAAAATTCGTTGAAGACTTTCATACAAGTGGAAGATTAGTAAGAGGCTCAAATGCATCTTTCATTGTTCTAATTCCAAAAAAGGAGAACCCAGTAAGAATTGAGGACTATAGACCAATTTCGCTAATCGGATGCATGTACAAAATTATTGCAAAACTACTTGCAAACAGATGAAGAAGGTGATGGAGGGGTTGATAAGCGAACAACAGTCAGCATTCATACAAGGGAGACAGCTTATGGACAGTGTAGTTGTGGCCAATGAAACCATCGACGAGATTAAGAAGAAGAAGAAAAAGAGCTTCATCTTCAAAATTGACTTCGAGAAAGCCTACGACAAGGTTTCTTGGAATTTCATAGATTATATGCTGATGCGCATGGGCTTTGACAATGTTTGGAGGAAGTGGATTATGGAGTGTCTTCGCTCAAGCACAATCTCAGTTTTATTGAATGGCAGTGTAACAAAGGAATTCAGTGTGAGCAAGGGTCTGCGACAAGGCGACCCTCTCTCCCCCTTCTTGTTCCTTATAGCCGCTGAGGGCCTTTCAAAACTATTAGCATCCGCTGAAAAAAAAGATTTGTTCAATGGAATGACGGTAGGCTCGAAGGGGCTGAAAATTTCTCATCTCCAATTTGCGGATGACACTATCATTTTTGGAGAGGCCTCGAAAAGAAATGTCAAGGCAATTAAAAGTATATTGAGGATCTTTGAAATGGTTTCGGGACTCAAAATCAACTACAACAAAAGCAAGTTGTATGGAATGAATATAGAAGAGGAAGTCTATCAACATTGGGCCATATTCTTGAATTGCAAAACGGGTAAACTACCCATGACCTACCTGGGCATGCCAATTGGAGCAAGTTTGAGAAGCAAGGACACATGGGCAGAACTGATAAGCAAAATAGGAAGGAAGTTGGCTGGTTGGAAAAATAGGTTCTTATCCTTGGGGGGGCATATTGTCATTATAAACTCCGTGTTGACTAGTCTTCCTGTCTTCCTTATGTCTACTTATCTCTTACCTGATGGAGTGATAAAAAAGATTGATGCAATTAGAAGGAAATTTTTATGGGGTGGGTGTGAGGAGAGAAACAAGATTGCATGGGTAAGGTGGGATAAAGTTTGTAAGGATAGGAAACAAGGGGGGATGGGTATTAAAGACCTTAGGATGTTTATTTTAGCGTTGATGGGGAAATGGTGGGCGAGATTAGTTAATGAGCAAGGAGGCTTATGGAGAAGAGTGCTCTTAGATAAATATGGAGGGGAAGGAGGAAGCTGGGGAGAATGGATAACAAAGGGGCAGAACAGGGGATCTAGATGTTGGAAAGATGTTTGCAAAATTAATGAGTTGATTGAGGGGAAACGGGATTGGGTGAAGTCGGGCTTTAAGTTGGTTATAGGAGATGGTGCTAAGGTCTCCTTTTGGAGACAAGTGTGGGTGGGATCTCATAGCTTAGAAGTAATGTTCCCTCGATTATCTTATCTTTCCACAGATAGACAAAGCACGGTGCAGCAAATGGGAGAATGGATAGGTGGTTCATGGAGATGGAGATTAAAATGGAGGAGAAGATTATCAACAAGGGAACAGGACCAAGAAACACAACTTCGGAGCACCATACAAAATGTGCAAGTTCGAAAAGACGCCGACGATAGATGGTGGTGGAGATATGAAAAAGACGGTGAATACACAGTAAAATCAGCATACAAGATGCTAACAACAACAGAAGAAGGGGATGAAATCAAATGTCTTAAGAGATGCTGGAACTTGACAATCCCATTGAAAATCTGTGCTTTTAATTGGCTGTCAGTGCTTGGACGTACACCTTGCAAGGTAAACCTCTTGAAGAGAAATATCATTAGACAAGAAGCAGATGCTAAGTGCAGTTTCTGTGCAGAAATAGCAGAAAATGAGGACCACCTACTACTGTGGTGTGATTTTTCAAGAAAAATTTGGAACAAAAATCTCGCATGGTGGGAAATCAAGTATGTCATGGCCAGGAGTTGTAAGGATGCTTTTCTCCAACATAGCTGGGCGGGTAGAAACCAAAAAGGGTGGCAGGTGATATGGTATGCTACAATCTGGGCCTTATGGTCAACTCGGAACCGTAGAATTTTTGAGGCAAAGCAAGTGTCCACTGATGAAGTGTTCCACATGGTACAATACAATTCATACTGCTGGATAAAGAGCAAAATTGAAGACTGGACATACTCTTTTGCGGACTGGTGCAATGCTCCAAGTAGATGCCGAACAGTAAAAGTTCCAAAACTAAGATTGGAAGAGCTTGAGCAAGGTGAGCTGATATGATGTCTGCAGTAATACCATATGAAGGTGTTTTTTAAGCAGTAGGGGTTTCCCGTGCCAGTGGGTTTGATGATCAAAACAATGAGATGTGGAGAAATTGCAAAAGAGGACAGAAAACCCGACACGGGTGTGGTGTCGACACATAAATTTGGTGTGGACACCATACGGTGAGCACCAAGAAGTCCGACACGGACGTGGTGTTGACACACAATTTTGGTGTCGACACCATACGGATGTAAACTTATGCTTTTCCAGTTGAGATGTTAATGGGTTTGGGGTACCCCTTGTACTCCGTTTTTTAATTAATATTACTTTTGGCTGTTCAAAAAAAAAAAGGATTAGTGTAGGGCAAGTCATCCTTCTAAAGTTTTTTTAGAAGACCTGTTTAAAAGCTTGCCTTCTAATTAATATTTTTAAAAATCAATTGTTGAATTAAGTTTTATTCATGTAGACTATGTTAATCTTCATGTTAATCAAAAGGTTAAAATGTCAATTTGATCCCTTAACTTTTAGATTTGTATTGAAATTGTCTTTTAACGTCAAAAAACCCCAAAATTGTCCCTAAACTTTAATTTTTCATACTAAAATAGTCCTTTCGTTAATAGAAGTGCCATGTGACTCATTATATTGCCACAAAACCAGTTTTTTTTTTTTTCAAATACTAATAATGTGTAAAATCAAATAGTCATATTTTGCCACTGTAGTATATTTTCATTTACATATAGATTGACATGTAATCAAAGTTAAAATACCAAATTGGCATTCGTAATCAAAGTTCAAGGACTAAATTAGTACTTGTCTTCAAGTTCAAGTACTAAGTTGGTTCTTGTTTTCAAAGCTTAAGGACTATTTTGGTACTTTTTGTAGTTGAAGGACACTTTTGATGTAAATTTAAAAGTTGAAGGACTAAATTAGTATTTTAGCCTAATCTAAAACTTATAACTCTTTAATCAAATAAACTATATTTACTAACATATGTTTAATAGTGTTAAATTTTGTATTATCAACAAAGAAGTAGTTAGATCTATTAGATTATTATGAAAATTAATATGCTTGATTTATGTCAATAGCACTTTCAATTCAAGTGATTGGTTTTGGAAAATATTAATTAGAAGATGAATTTTTAGACAAGTCCTCCAAAAATTATTCAAGAAGACTAGCTGTAAAACACTTTTCTCATATATATATATATATATATATACATACATACATATGAGAAATAATCTACTTACATATAAATCCTATACACCACATTTATATAAAATTTCAGTTATTCATCTCTTCACTTTTAATAGTCAATATTTAATACAACTTTTTAAATAAAAAATATAATTATTTTTAATAAATATAAATAAATCTTTTTAATCTAAAAAGTCATGATAAATAACAACCATTTACAATAGAGAGATGAATGATTAAGATTTTATATAAGCGTAATGTGTAAAATTTGTGTGAGTGGATCCATACTATATATATTGTTTCTTAATAAATTAAAGGGCACAATGACTGATTAAGATAGAAAGCTGTAATATTAGTAATTGAAGGTGTGGCAATAATATTATCTATTAGTTATGGTATCTGAAAACAATAATTTATAGATTTATACTCCAATTAATGAAATTTTATCATTAGGCGGATAAAAAAATAATTTATAAATTATTTTAAATTATTAAGTAATAAATAATAGTAATTTTATTATTTACTAACTAGCATTTATAATTATTAATTATTTTTAATTAATAAATTAAACTGAGTTAGTATTTTAAGAAACAGTATACAAAGATTGGTGTGGCATTAACATTTGACCTTTGCCCAAAGTAGCATATTTCCTTTGCCCATCACGTTCACGTTGTGGCCTAACTTACCTAGCCATTCCAGAAAAAGAAAAAGGCTCTAACAAAAAGCCATGTACGCATTGTGGTTGCCATGGTAGAGTGGGGCAAAAACTCATGCTTTGCCCCTTACCTTATCAATTTTGAAGATTTTTGCCCATCATCTTTTAAAGTAAGGATATATGCCTGGCGATGGAGCCAAGATTTGAGATAAGGGGGCTAATTTTGTGGACGTTTAAATCAAATTTGTGTTCAAAGTATTAATTTTTTTAGTTTGTTTAAGTTGTGTTAATTTGATTTTTGCATAAAATTTGATTTGATGATGTTATTTAACAAATAAATGACAATTGAAAACTTTTTTTTCCCTAATTCACATAGTGTATGTTGTATATTTTCAATTAGATAAAAAAAATTTAGTTTTCACTAATTTGTTTATATAAAATTATTAAATTAATTAGCATAAACACTACCAGAAATAGGGGTTTATTCGCCCAAGCATCTTGACTGAATAAATAAGAATTTGACCAAATTGTTGATTCTAATATTTACTGTACGAAATAACAATTCAGACAAAATTTCATCTTAACCAAAAATGTTGGACAATTTTGATAAAAAAAAATTTTGGTCGAAAATTTTACTACAAAATCTTCTATTTTAGACTAATTCGGTCAAAATATTTGACTAAAATATTATTTTCAAATTAAAAAAATTAATATATTTATGTAATTATAGTATACATATAATTACTATTTTTATATAATTACAAAATACATTTAATTAATATTTAAAAATCTATTTATTTTATCCAAATCCAAATATATCAAAATTTTAAATTGAATATTATATAACAAAAAGCAAAGTTTTATAAAAATATTTAAATTTAAGCTAAACAGTAGAGAGTTAATTACTAACTGTTTTATTTTTTTTTGGTTGCTCCAGCCCTTAACACCAAGAAAGAGTTAATCACAAATTACAAACTAAATGGGAAACTTAATGAAAAAGAAAAAATTACAAAATTTTAATGAAATATATAAAATAAAAAAATAGAAGTATCAAATGAGATGCCTTCTTAAAATGCCTTTAATTTCTATTATAAAATCCTATAAAAAATAAAATTGATATCAATATTAATTGAAACAAACTTGTAAATTGTAAAAGAAATAAACTAATAAGATTAAAATTAATGGAAAATAGAAAATGAAAGAAATTAAAGGAGTGGAAGTCGGGAGGAAGGGAAAAGCAAAAAGAAAGAAGAACGAAATGGGTAAATTGCACTTTGAAGTGCCTAAAGTGTTTTTATAGAATTTAAATTATTTCAATAAAAAATTTTGACCAAAATAGCTTTGGTAGAAAACACAAGACATTTCACATGATCTAAGAGCAAATAATAATAATAATAATAATAAATAAATAAA